GAATTAATATAATACTAATGCAAATTAAATACCGTTATGAAGTCAATTGGCCAATGTCTTAATATAATGATGATCCTTTTCCCCCTAAATTCTTACCTTAATCATCATCTTAGCCAACAATTGACGAAGCAACCACTTATCCTTTCAACTATAATTCAAACTTTTAATTTAATTAATTTAATTTGCACCAATTTAATTAATTACTTGTTGATGTTGTTGGGAGCTGTTGAGATTGTCATTTCATGAATATTTTTTAACTTATTAGTTTGTTACAAGGTACTAATTAAATAAATCAAATCAATTTTGACAAAATAGGTCATTACACTAACTGAGAAAGTAAATTAAAGANNNAAAAAAAAAAAAAAAACGTACGATAGACTTATTTTACTCCAAAATTTGCTTGGTATCCAAATATCCTTTAGTATTTATATAAAAATATATTACTAAGGGCTAATTACATTGTATTATAAATAATTAAAGCAAATACAATTGACATATCAATATAAATTTATTTACTATATTAAAACAACTTGTCATATAATCCCCCTATATATAATTCCCAAATACGCTGAGCCTACGTGTCTGCTTCTGGTGCTTCGAAATCCTACTTGGCGAAGAATCATGTTTCGTAATTAGGTTTGGACAAATAATGTTGATATACTAATAATTAATAATCTAGGTTCGGACATTCCATAAATATTATTTAGCTAACTTAGGTATTTTAATATCACTTGTACTAATATAACCTTTAATTCTTTATAATTTTACATACTGAGACACTAAGTGACTAATATATCCATGACTTTTGATTTGTTTCCTTCAATTAGTTATTGAATTATAAATGTATTTTAAAAGTTGATAACTTGTGTATTTCTTATCGGTTTTACATATATAATATATCAAATTAATCATCTTTTCATGATCTTCGATTTGACATCCATATTATATATATATAATAAATAAATTATATTCTTTATAATAATAAAAAATAATAATATTTATTAAAAAAATTAGCGAAAAATCATGCTTTGTAATTAGTTTTCGACAAATAATATTAATATATTAATAATTAATAATCTAGGTTCGAGCATTCTATAAATATTATTTAGCTAACTTAGGTATTTTAATATCACATACTAATATAATCCTTTAATTCTTTATAATTTTACATGGTGAGACACTAAATGACTAATATATCCCCGACTTTCGATTTGTTTCCTTCAATTAGCTATTGAATTATAAATGTATTTTAAAAGTTGATAACTTTTGTATTTTTTATCGGTTTTATATATATATTATATCAAATTAATCATCTTTTTATGATCTTCGATTTGACATCGATATTGTATATATAAAATAAATAAATTATATTCATCTTTATAATAATAAAAAATAATAATATTTATTAAAATTTATTACAAAAATAAATTTATTTCTCAGTTGATATATTTATGTTTA